CCCCCGAATATATATGTATATATATATATATATATATATATATATATATATATTTGCATACTTCATGTATATTTGTACATATATTTCAATGTTAAGCATTTTTTATCGTTTATTATTGTTCGTTATTATATATAGTTGGGATCATTATTATTCTACTTATGATCACACTGCCATTTTTTATGTAAGATTTTATTTATTTATGATTAAACAGCACAGGTTAAAAACTAGCCATACATTGGACACATTACAGAAGGTTGTACTTGCATTCACTTTTCTAATTTTTGTTTTAACAGGTTCAAAGCTTACTATGCATCACTCTATCCATAATTCTATCTATCTATCTATCTATCTATCTATCTAATGTGACTTAACACATGTCTTCCATCTTAATTCAGGGCGCGGCCATTTTGAATATTGAAATATACTTACCCTCAGAATTCATGCACTGGCCGTATACTTCGAGCTGGGAAATTTCGTGGAATATCATTTCATAAATGATACATTTCTTAGACTAGCATATACATGTTAAATGTACTTTACATATGCATGATATTGTATAATGGATATATTATGCATATGGTCGGACATATATGCAAAACTTTATTCTGTCCTTTTTATGGTTCATCTGTTAAACCTCATGTAGAAATGAGCAAAATGTCTTTCAGTGAAATATCCCGAAACCCCGTTCTTTCCTTTACCTCTTCAATCTTACCACAATTAGCCATATTAAGATTCTCAAAAAGTTTCACAAAATAAACATACTGAACAAAATCTCTCATTTAATAAACAATGTACAGGGTTACCCACAAAAAATGAGACTATTGTACAAAACTTATACTGTCTGTTTCCTTTTATTTCAAATTCCCTGCAACTGTAAACTTGTTTCATTTTTGCCAAATCGTTGCCCAGAAAAAGATTATATTCAAGGCAGAAGACTTAGCTTAACCTCAAAATCGTCAAAGGTGAAGACTTTCAGGTCGTCTTTACAGTCTCATCCTCTATAGATTGCCCTGTATTTTATGTAGTGTAAGTTAAAATCAGGTACTTCGAGTTCGATTTCTCACATTCTTACTTTTTGCAAAGTACGATCAAACACGAGCACGACCCTTCTGGGCGAAAACGAATAGAAAGCATAGTGAAATTAGACTATGTGCTGACACATACATTGAGTGCTGACATCTAACGGGCCAAGAGTACGAAGACATACAAAGAACGTCTTAATTTGGGAAAAATCGGGCTCTGTTGTCTACGGTACACACTACACATCATTAAGAATAAATGAAAATAAAATTAATAATTTAGATTTTATACTTTTCATTCATTTTTGCACATTGCTCGACTTATTAAATAAAATTGAAACAAGAAACTTTCCTTTTCAAATAAAGACCTGGCACTATATAAAATTAATGAAAATAGATATGATGGCAAACACATCTACTGAATTCCAAGGAAAGAAAGGAACGTTTTTTGTTGTTCAAACACCAAATATTCTGATTTTTAAGTTATTTAAAAATTTGATATTAATGCATATTATAAATCAGGTTGGTAAAATTTTAAAAATCTGCATCCTAGCAATTTTTTTTAAGTACTGCCAGTATAAACAGATTTTCAACCTTACTTCTGTACACTCTGGTAGGAATATTTTGTTCACACTTTGTTTTGTACTTGATAACTCAAAATCCCAACTAATATATATTCAGACGTACTTTGTCAAGAAATATATAGAAATATATAGTTCCTTGTACTGTGTTATGTACACTGTACAGTGTACACTTTATAGGCTATGGTGTACAAAATTCTATAATCGTTAAATTAGGCGTAAGATAAACATCAACTAAAATATGTTAACTGAAACTTTATCAACCAATGTTTTATTTAAACATTTATAGAAAAATAGTAAATCATCTATTTATATTACATAAATAGAATTTATAAGAAATATTGTATATTCTTATTTTTGCATTTTTTTCAATGAAACAGATTTAAATTTGTAAATAATATTGTGAATATTTTCAGAATAAGGTTTAGACAAGATGGTTGCTGACAACATTAATCTTGGTGGTACAGCTATCAAGCCAGTAGGCTGGGACAGGTCAATAATTTACAATTTTAAAATGCTGCTTCTTTTCTCAAATTTAGAACAGAAGCCATATCTTTGTGAACTGCGGTTTCTGGGAGCAATGTAAACACATTCAGCAGTACTTTTCTGGTTTATATGTTTTATTCTTATTATTTTTAAATTGGAATGTCTGATTCACAATGGCACCTTTAAACCATTGTCTGATCGCTAATAACATGAGATATTCTTATTTATTAGCATAAAATTGATCAATTTCAAGTGTGAATCCTCTTTAAAAAAGGACTTGATGATATACACTCTTGGGAAAATTAGAATTTTGTTTGAGTTTAACTCTTTAAGACTATATGAAGACGATATTCCCCGCTGTCCACTCTTAGAAGGAGGCCACTTAAAATAACATACAAAGTCGATGTAACAGAACTCATTAGAATAATTTGATTGTACAGGTCTGGATGGGAAAACTTCAAGTACATGTTGTACGACCCCAGCACAGGAGCCATTCTAACCAGGACACCTATGTCCTGGATTAAAATCATTGCCTTCTATATTGTGTACTACACCCTTCTAGCTGGTTTCTGGATTGGTTGTATGCTCATCTTCTTCCAAACCCTGCCAGACAACCAACCTAGGTAAGATTTTTTATATAAAATAATTAAGGAACTTTCTTAATTCAACCATCGTAATTTTTTTATATTTAAATGCTTTACAGATGGCTTCTTACTGAATCTCTGATTGGATCCAACCCTGGAGTAGGAGTGAGACCACCCACCTCTGATCTCCATATTGACAGCAGTATGTATCTCCTAAACTCACAGGATACTGACGAAAAACCGACTACACCTACCGGTGAAGGAGAGAAGAATATCGACTACGCCACAAGGATGGATTTGTTTATGAAAGCATACGGAAACAACACTGGATTGGTTGAATGTGATGGATCAGATGTAGGTTCTTTATCAAATTCAAAAGCTGAAAAAAATATTTTTTATTATTTTTTCTTATTTCATGTGATCTTATTTTAGGAGAAAAACAACGGAAAATGCATCTTTAAAACTAGTACTCTTGAAGCATGCGGCAGCTATCCTTACGGGTTCAAACCTGTTGCCGGAGACGTCAATCCCTGCCTTTTCCTCAAGCTCAACAAGATCTGGGACTTTGTACCCAAGGGCATCAAGGCTGCAAATGTTGACGCTCCTGAATATAAAGATATGAGCGAAGAGCTAAAGGAAATTATCCGTACTTCTGGTGATGCAGACCAGGTTTATATTGACTGCAAGGGTCGCTTTCCAGCTGATGTTGAGGGAGTCAACCTAACATATTTCCCAGCTAACAGAGCTATTCCATCTTACTTTTTCCCCTTCTCAGGGGGTAACTACCAGTCTCCTCTGGTGGCAGTTAAGGTAAAACAAAACAGCAAAACTTTTGATAAAGATAAATCAACCTATAAGAATTATTAGCTAAAGGGCCCGGCGTTGCCAGTGGAAAAAAAAAATTAAAATATTTTTTTTGATTTAAAAAAAATTTCGAACTTTTTTAGCCTATGACACCTCCAGGTCACCCATGAGTGTCCACAATAAATTTCAGCCCAATCGGTCCAGCCGTTTTGCCGGCTATACGCAACATATATATATATACGAATGTCTTGTTTTATTATATAGAAATTAGTTTATTTGATATTCGTTCAGGTTACTCCAGTGATCAAGGGGGCTCTCGTTCATATTGAGTGCCGGGCTTGGTTTGAGGGAGTTATTCACTCCGGAAAGGAAAAAGCTGGACTTACCCAGTTCGAAGTGCTGGTCAGATAAATTGCTCAACGAAGCATTAATCCTCATCAGCTGATCTCTGATTGGCAAAGTAAGAAGTGCAGAAAGCGTAGCTTGCGGATTCGGAATAAACCGGATGTGTATCTATCTATCTGATCCAGTTTGTACCTTTAGTGGAGCCTAAAAACGAGGCTGTGATGTCATATTTATAGATATATGTTTTTATGCTGCCTGGAAAATGACTTATAAGCGCCTAGAGTGGCCTGTAACTGTTGATCATTAATAAAGGTTTACGCAATTTTATTTCACTGCTATTAAATTGGTTAAGACCGTTTTTTCCTGCTAGTTAGATTTTTATTTCCTGTTAGTTAGATTGTTATTTCCTGATAGTTAGATTGTTATTTTCTGCTAGTTTGATTGTTATTTCCTGTTAGTTAGATTTTTATATCCTGCTAGTTAGATTTTTATTTCCTGCTAGTTAGATTTTTATTTCCTGCCAGTTAGATTTTTATTTTCTGCTAATAAGATTGTTATTTCATGCTAGTAAGATTTTTATTTCCTGTTAGTTTTATTTTTATTTCCTGATAGTTAAGATTGTTATTTCCTGTTATTTTTATTGTTATTTCCTGCTAGTTAGATTTTTATTTCCTGTTAGTTTGATTGTTATTTCCTGCTAGTTAGATTTTTATTTCCTGTTTGTTTGATTGTTATTTCCTGTTAGTTTTACTGTTATTTCCTGCTAGTAAGATTGTTATTTCCTGCTAGTTTGTGTGTTAAGATCAATGCTGAAGAATAGTTTCAAATATGCTTTTAATATGTTCTACTTATCCCGTATATTTTTAACTTGGACCAAAACAGGGATATCCAAAGACGACATTTAAGTTTTAAGTCTAATTCTAAAAGTATACGTTCAGGGTCACCCACAATGAATGATATTTTCCCTAGATCGTTTATACAAAATGCATATATCCTTTTTAAGAACGTAATCAAGTACAAAAGTGTATATTCAATCGTCTTAGCGTCGTATTTAAAAGTTTTCATATCATTAACAAAACCTTTACAAAACGTTAAAAGTCGCGTTTTTGTGGTTAATATTTCATGCACTGTTTACAGAATCATAAAAGAAGGCGACTTTCTTCCAAAGCTTGTCAGATATGGTAATGAATACAACCTAGTGTATTTCTTTTCAACTGTTGGTGTGATTTACTAAAAATGAAAAATGTGGCAAATTTGGCCAGAAAAGTTGGAAAATTCTTAAATTTTGCGTCACATATTAGCTTTTTTGTCTTCCGGTAGCCATTAGCCACAACCATTCGGTCTTCCATGCCTCCCATGCCACAACATTTATGTCATCCGGCAAGCACATATTACGTTTTAAAATGGTAAATTTAGTGCATTGAAAATTGAAATTGCGATTTTAAAGTTCAGCCACGTCATGATGAATTTTTCTATAAAGATATTTATATCTAAATTTAAATTGAAATTATAATTTTATGCTTCCTTTAAATGTAAACTGCTTTACTCACTCCCCCCCCCCCCAAAAAAAAAAATCAATCTTTACTCTAAATCGGACTAGTTTTAAAATATTATGAACAAAATGATGCACCATAATATACTCTTCTTCATTGGGAAACCATCACCGAAAATTTGCAATATGTTACGCTCAGGTAACGACAGTTAAAGGGACAGACCGGCTATGTCAGTCGGTCTGTCCCTTTAATATCAGGATTTTTCTTATATTTTCTTATTGTTTAGACTACCCAAAACAATTTGTCTTGGTGCCCACAATACATTTATCATTAAAAAGCGTAAAAAATGTCCAGAAGACTCAAATGTTATGGCATGGAAGGAAAGGTTGTGGCTTATGACTGCCGGAAGATTGAAAAACTAATATGTAGCATGAAATGGGAAATGTTATGGCTTATGGCCACCCGCCTTCCCCCGCTCTTAAGAACAGGAAAGTTGGATAATCCTGGAGTATTGAAACCTTTGAACTGAACTGAACTCCTATGCAGATTTATCCTTCATTCCCATAGAGAAGATCAGGTCCAGGGATAGCATGGTCAGGAAGGTCAGGGAGTCATACTACATCCAGAAATTTGACTCAGTGAGGTCAGGACTGAACAAGAAAACATAATGCTAATTGCAATCTTTTTTAAAAAAATAAATTTTGTTTGTTTTAAACTGTATGTATATGTATTACCAACAGTACCTTATAGTGTTGATCGAATTCATGTATTTGACCGTTTTGTCGACGAATTCTAACCCCTTCAACACCCCCCCCNTATTCTTTTATTATATTCTTTATTCTATTCTTTAGACAATTCCTTGTTTTATTCATATTTTATTCCTTATTATATTCTTTATTCTATTCTTTATTCTAATCTTTATTATATTCTTTATTCTATTCTTTTTTCTATTCTTTAACCTATTCTTTTTTCTATTCTTTATTCTATTCTTTGTTTTATTTTTTTTATTCTATTCTCCATTAACAGTTTTAACTATGGATTTCAGACTCTGAATTATCCCCAACAGTCCTGTATACGTCCCTGGAGTTGAAACTACATTTGAAAACTATTTTCATCAAGAAATCTACCATTAGGTTTTCTATATTGACTAATCTTTCTTCCGCTGCGAAAAATTTCATCTTGACTGTGTCTATTATGAAGCCTAGAAACAACAATCTCTGTTTTGGTTAACAAATTCATTTGCTCTTTATGTTCTTGGCATATAAAGCATAATAGACATTTCCTGTCCAATATTTGGACTTCACTAAATCATAGAGTTTCAACATTCAGAATCAGAAAGAGATTAATTTTAGTATATTGCTGCAGATAATGATGTTGAGACATTTCATAGAAAGAAAGATATTTGATTTGTCCGAGCTATGAAATGTCCATCTATATGAAATGTCTCCATCTATATCAAATGTCCAGATGTATATAAATATATATATGAAATATCCGATCTATGAATTGTCCATCTATATGTAATGTCCGATCTATATGAAATGTCCCATCTATATGAAATGTCTGATATATGAAATGTCGATCTATGAAATGTCCGATCAATGAAATGCCTTTCTATAAAATGTCTTTCTATGAAATGTCCATCTATAAAATTTCCATTTATGGAATGTCTTTCTATAGAAATGTCCATCTATTAAAACTTTCTATGAAATATCCGATCCATCAATGCCTACCTATGAAATGTCCATTAATTCAATGTTTAACTACGAAATGTCTTTCTACGAAATGTCCGATCTATGCAATTGGCTTTCTATGAAATGTCCGATCTATGAAATGCCTTTCAATAAAATGTCCGATCTATGAAATGTCTTTCTATGTAATGTCTTTCTATGTAATGTCCGATCTATGAAATGTCAAATTTATGAAATCTCCGAATTGTGAAATGTCGCATCTATGAATTGTCCGATATATGAAATATCTTTCTATAAGTGTCCGATCTATGAAATATCTTTCTATAAAATGCCCGATTTATGAAATGTCCGATAATGTCATGTCCTTTTTATATGAAATGTCTGATATATGAAATGTTGCATCCATGAAATTAGTAACGATCTTTGAATTGTCCGATCCAGGAACTTTCCAATCTATATAAAATGTTCAATTTATTAAGTGTCCGATCTATAAAATGTCCTATCTATGAAGTGTCTGATCTATAAAATGTCCTATCTATGAAGTGTCCGATCTTTGAAATGTTCGATCTCTGCAGCTACACCTATTACAGGTCTTCATTACCATTTTTGCAGATATGAAATGAATGACAGGTCTTTTCCATTGGGTTTGCAAAATATTATCCGATTCGTTAGACATTTTCTAGATGTGATTTAGCTCCGACTTCCT